TGTTTGAGGGCTTTTTACATGGAACACAAAAATTCCACTGTGGCATTTCTTACATCTCCCTCTTGTCCCTGCTTTTATTGGAAATATCTGCAAATTTAGAATTGCAAGTTGTGTTTCAAAGATTATTATCCGGGGTAATACTTTTCATGTAGAGCATTAGGATCTCTCCTATAAATAAAAGCCACTGGCCCCCAAAACCAACTAATAATATTGTAAGTTGAACTCCTTGTTTTTGTTTGTTTGTTTTTATGAAGGGAGGGGAAGTAAGTGAAGAACAAATTGTTTTGGTAGCTCTTTGGCCACGTGCATAAGCACTTGGTTGATAGTTTTAAGTGACACTTTATGAATGTCTTTGGTATTTCATTTATTCCTTCAGGAAAGAAGAACTAAACTTGTAGGTTAGGAAGGGATTTTCTTTTTTAACACTTGAAAGCAATTTTTTTAATTATAAAAAGAAAAACCCACCTAACAACTGTTCACTGAACATTTTTGCCCATCTTAAATACCTCAGGAATAATAATTGTTTCCATTTGCAGTACTTAGAAGGCTGTTATATTTTCAGTCATGATAGGTCAGTCGTGAACGTCCAAGAATTCAAAATATTTTTTGAAGCTTAATCTAGAAAATAGACACTATTTGCATTTTTATTTCTCACATGCGATAACTAGTGGGCTTTTTTAGAAATGTGAAGAATAACATGCAATATTTTCTGCCAAAAAGTTTTCCTTACTGCTTTAAACAATTCTAAGATAACTTGAAAGAGGAGGGCCTTTTTGTAGGACACAATTTGGATGTGATACAGAGAATTCTCAATGTGTAATTTTTTAGCTGGTCCTAAAATGAGCAGTGGGCTTCTGTTGTTTTGGGTTTTTTTTTTTTGTTACAGAACACTTGAAAGCTCTGTTTTCTGAGTACTGTTGGATCTTCTTCCATCAGAAGCTGTATCAAAGTCCTGTTTCTCCTTTAAAGTGGGAGCTAAACTGTCAGAAACCTAATGTGTTGCTAATGTTCTCAGCTGTCGCTGATAACTGGAAAAGAAGTTCCAAGTTATTATGTTGTTCTTGTTAATGATTTTAGAAAAAACTTCTTGAACAGTCACTGAATACCTACAGGTTGTTCTATCGTTAGCTTCGCCATGTTACATTCTTAGCGTCATGGAATTTGGATAGGGAGCATAAGTAAGACTTCCACTGCAAACCAGGAGCTGGATTCAGTTCTCTTACACTTCCCTTCAGTTCATTTCTCTTGTAGAGGAATATGGTCTGCTAGTGGAGTCTACAGAGTGGATTTTTCTTGGTCTCGTTTTCTTGGTATCATCTGTTAGCTTGCTAGCATTAGGCAGAGATGCTGCTAGAATTTCTATGGGCTTTTTACCACATCAGTTATATTATTGCTTATCATACTTCATTTAAATAAGGAATGTGCCGTTTCTTGCATGTTGTCTGCATGAGTGTGGAAACATTTACTATCTTGCCTCCAAATAGTATGTAGGGGATTTTTGTGGACCCAAAAGTAGTGGCTGTAGATGTCCCTTTCCTCCCTACCTATCTAGGACACAATAAAAACCTGTTTACTGTGACAAAGAGGATTTTTCTGTTCAAGCCAGAGTTTAATTCTAAAACTCATTACTTGCTGATACGTGCTTCTTTTATGATTTAGATAATTCGACAGGATCTCTGAATTTCAAATACAGATTGTTGTTCTTTGTGTTGTCAGCATCATTCAAAAGTGCAATATATTGAAATTTATATTAGGAGATAGTTATATAGGTACATGGTTTGGGTTTTTTTTGGGTGCTTATTAATTGGTATTTAAGTGCTTCAAACTTGCAGAACACTATTGCCTGTATGCAAAAAAGCCACAACTTTTGCTGTCCTGTCACATTAACCAAGACAACAGCCTATAAAAGTATAGTAAGTGCTGCTTCTCTGTTGGGTTTTTTAATTTTAAAGTAAGTTTGAATTATATATCCTCTAGAATGTAAAAAAACCAAAAAGACTGAAATACCATGCAATAGCATGTTAAAAGCCGTATGGTTTTTTAGGTCTGGTTCTGCTTGCTTTGGTTTCATAAAGTAGAATAAAAAATAGTGTTGTACCATGTGTAAGTTGAGCTAGAAAGGGGAAAACTGGCTGCCCCGTTAGGCTGGCCATGTGTGGCAGGTCATTAGCATCAGCTGAGGAGCTTTGTGTTTCCAGAAAGGTAAGGTTTCTGTTCCTAACCTTTGGAATGTATTTCTTTCCTTGGTGTTACAGTATTCAAACATTGTACACTGAAGATGTTGGCTTGTATGTTTTCTTTAAGTCATCTTAAACTGTACTGAAGGAGGTAATGTTACTGCCACCTACTTTAAGTTAAAGATACGAAAGTAACCATCAAGTCTTATTTTTTTAGTGTTTTGTTTGCAATTTGTAGAGGTTTGTATTCCCATATTTTACGTACAGTTCAAGAGATTTGGGTCTTTCTGGATGTTGTCCTTGTTAGGTGAACCTTTTGTTGGGAAGTTTTCTCAGCGTGTGTATTACTCAAGTTTCAGAGTGTAAGGGACTTGTGAAAGGCATTAATGCCTTCTGACCGTGGTAACATTGAACATCGAGGCAGTATTTGATCATGTGCATTTAGAGAATTTGTGGACCATGAGGACTTTACATCCCATTTCAATCTAGCAGTAAGGTGGCCCAGAATTACACTGCTGACTTTTATGAACAGACAACCTGTTTCATAGCTGAAGTTTATGATGCAACATTCTCACAGGTATCTTGATGAAGACATAGCGGTGTTGGAAAACCACCTAGTGTCTCTTCTAGCAGTTAGTGTAATTTATCTTAACTCAATTGAGTAGATTTCTAAGGAATGGCTTTTCCTGGCTTTTTTTTTCTGTCAGAACAAGAGGAATTACTCAGATTGCTTTTCAGAGTTCTTGCATTTCCAAAATACATATTAATATTATGCAGAAGAGGCTGAGATTTTGTTTTTCTATGGTGTTAATTGTACTCCTTACTGTATCTGATTTTGCAGTAGAGATAATGTTAATAGGACTTCACTGTATTTAATTTCATGTCTACAACATACAAAGGAAAGAAGTACTAGTAATAAGTTCACAGCAGTACTGACACTTTATGTGGGAATTCCTACTGGTAATTCTATTTTCCATCTGATTTTTAGTAGTATCTGCAAAGGTTAATATTTCCATTTAAAACTATTAGTGTTTGACAATTTAATCTTGGTGAATGATTAACAAAAATTTAGTTAAGGTTTCTGAAGGAAGGTGTGGATAAATGTTTAACTGCTAAGTTTTCAGAATAGAGAATTGAAAAGTCAATGAGGTGGGCAATTTGTCCTGTAATGGGTCTTGCAGAATTCCGCAGTTTTTAACGTTTTTACTGAAATGCTTCATAACAATACAGGCTGTAAATGTAGCTTCTTTTAATGAATTCTATTAATTCATACATATTTAGTAAGAAAGTAATGAGTACATGAAAGCTGTTAATGGATGTTGAAGGGATCATTCAGTTGATGTGATATATAAGAAACTCACTCAGGATCTTGTATAGCGTTTTAAATCCTGACTGAGAAAGAGCAGAACTGTTTCATAGTTGTTGAAAGAATAACAACATGAACAAAAATCTGTTGATATCATTGTGTGGTGTTCAGATGAAAACAAAGTGTCCACTTTAATTTTGCTTAAGGTAGATGAAAGTCCAGATGTCAAACACTGAAATTGCTTTTCAAGAATTATAAAGGGATGCCCATTAAGCAAAAGAAGGGTGCACTTAAACTGCTGTACTCCAAAGAATGTGGCTTATGCATAGACTGAAGAAATGCTGGTTCACACTTAACGTTTACTGAAGTGTATTAACCGCTCAGACTGACTTTAGTTTGCTGTATTACAACATTCTATAACAGATCAGAGTGAAATGAATGAAATGTATGTTGCTTCAGCAGCTAAATCACGAAAGTTCTACTCATGTTACTGGTTGCGTTTGAATACTTTGTCTTGACAGGCTCACTTGGAAAGATAATGAATGTCCCTGTGCTGATGACTTTTGAGTTCTGTTGCTGTGACAAGCCTTTCTCTTAACTGATCACTTTGTTTACAATTTGATTACAAATTAGTCACTTTTTAAAAAAAAAAAATCGGTTTTGCATGCATGAGTCTTTCTCAGCCATCTCTATGACCTGATTTTACTTTTTGTGAGTGTAAAATGTAGCAGTATTTAGAAGTAGTTCTAAAACTGCTATTGGATTTCTGGCTATCTGGGTAAATCTAGGACTCCATCTAAACTTGATAGGTATTTTAAAAATTGGAATTATTTCTAAGGTTTTATAAATTTAAAAAAAAATCAGGAAATATGGGTGATAATAAAATAGCACTGCCAAAATTTGGGGGAGTTTTACAAAGGTGGTAGCTTGAGGGATGCCCTGTGGAGCATTCCTGTGGCATATTGCTGCATAAATTGCCCTGTGTATTGGCGAGTGGGCTGGTTTTCCAAATGTTCAATAAAACAGAAAAACCGAGTTGGTCGCTTGCAAGGCAGCACAATTTATGTCCAATAGCTGCTGCTGAACTAATGGGGGTTAGATGTGTGTTCGTACCTTAATTACAAAATAGTCTTGATTAGATGCTCGGTGGGAAGTCAAAACATCTTTGCCCAGTTGGTTACTTGTTCCACCCAACGTTCTTGAGCAGTGTTCTTCCTGCTTTTGACATTTTTCTGCCAGAGAAATGATCGGCCCTGGGTATCAGTGTCCAGTATTATCTCTGAATCAAGCTTCGTGTTCTTGATTGTGTGGCCAGCTTTATAATTTAGAAACCATATGAATGCTGCATTAAAACTGTATCATGAAATGATTTGTAAATACTGACTTTAAGATACCTGGGATATTTCAAGGGAGATTTTTCATAGTCATATAAGATTTTTAAAATTGTAATTACATTTGAAAAGATGAAATTTCTGGTTTAAAATGTTGGGTTTTTTTGTTTCCTTGTGTAGCTATGTAGGAAACCTCTCCAGAGATGTGACTGAAGTTCTTATACTTCAGTTGTTCAGCCAGATTGGACCATGCAAAAGCTGTAAAATGATAACAGAGGTAAGGCCTTCCACATGCAGGGGGGTAGCAATGTAACTTTATCCTAAGTTGTGCAAAATAAATGGACTTGGGGGCTTCTTTTAGCGTGACTGGTAGTGGGGTTTTTAGGTTGATTGTGTTTGGCTTTGGGGATAACTTTTTGCAGAAGAGACGTGTTGTGTACAGTCCTGTACTTTTGCCTGCGGCCCTGATGTACCTTTTACCGGCTGATTATGAGACTCCACTTTTTATTTGAAAGATTGTTACTCCCTCTTCTCAGAACCGCCTTGTTCTGATAATCAGAAACCTTTCCAGTGTTCTTCATGGCTATTTTGTACATTTTTCACTTTATTTTAACATAAGTCTCAGTAATTCTTTTCCATCTTGAGCAAATGCTTCTTCACTATGGATGAAAAGTTAAAAAAACCTTCAAAATAAGTTTTGCTGTTCATGAGCCTCTTCTGTGCCAGTGCGAATAGCTCTTGTCTGCACCTGTCTGTCCTTAAATCATTTTTTTCTTGAAACAGTGACAAAATTTCCATAGTATTTCAGATAAGGTCTTTTGTACAAAGTGTTGGTAAGTACTAATACTTTCTTCTATCCGTTGTAAATACTGACGCGCTTAGGGTTGGTAGCCGTTTCTGTGATCTTGTTGACACATCCTAGGCAGCTTCTTGCTCCCTAATACTTTTCCTTCCTTCTGCATTTATAACTGATAAACTTCAAGCAGGCAGGGACTAATCAGAACTTCTGCTAGGTTTAATCTTTGGTTCTTCAACTCTGATCTTCTGTTTGCTCTTCCTGCTTTTTACTACTTATGCTTTCTACTAACTTGTAATTACAGATTTCCTGAGTACAGTTGCATGATTAATTTTGTTAATGGAAGTATTAAAAGGCAAATCTTGCAACCAGACTTCTTCAGGAATGCTACTGTTAACTCCTCTATGGTGGTCTTTCCCTTTGTGTGACACACTGCTTTTTTGGGTTTTAGCTGTTTATTATCCTCCTGATCCTTGTTTAATCACTCTCATCTGTCTTAACTGGTAATTTCCCATGTGGCATTTCATTAAAACTTTCTGGTGAAGACAAGAGCTTTGCCACATTTTCTTAAGTTTATTGGAGAAAGATGACTAAACAGAAGGATAACAGAGCACAATTGTTAGTTTTTCTCTGAAGAAACAGTTGGATTGTCATAGGCTCTTCAGAAATACGGTGCTGCTGCTCCAGCCCACGGCTGTGAGAGAGGCCTTAGCATCGGTTTGATTTCTTGAGAACCAGATGAGAAATTCCAACACTCATTTTACCTTGATTTAGGCTTTGTGGGTTTAAGGTTTTACATAACCATAGAAATAACAAGTGAGACATCTCTGTGAAATAAGTAGATAAACAAAAAGCTACTTGCAGCTATATTCGGTCGTACGGAGGTGAATGCCCTTGGCTGACCTTAGCACCTGTCACCAAGCAGTCAGCCAGGGCAGGTTGGACTCCAGGCTGGAACCAGCCTGCAGCTACAGCGCTTTTAACTGTCAGAGTACCTGTCCGTGCTCTCCATCCTTCGGATCAGCATGTTGGAAACTTTCCATAGGCACTGAGTTACATTTCAGAGCTTCTTACCTGTCCGTTGCTGTTACCATCAGCAGTCAAGTTCATACCTGAATGTTTTCAAACCCTTGGTGATTTTTTTTTTTCTGCTCTTTAGCCAGGTGTATCGGCTGTCTGCTCGCTCTCTTTTTCATCTGTAGAATATGACATGAACATGTCAAGTGTTTAGAGATTTCAAGTGTTTATTTTGGGGGTATATAATACTCAGGGGTTGGTGTGACTAGCATTTACAGGTATCTCGAACATCTAAAGAACTGGGCATCTGCAAAAGAGGTGGTTCTTATGTTCAGACAAGCTCTTGGTGCTAAAGACGACTTCCTCACAATCTAAAAGTAAAATTGCACTTCAGTTGAAGCATAAACTGCACTAAATGTGCGAAGGCCTTAAATGGGTTTCCCAAATCTTGTTTTCCTTGCAGCAGGAAAGTAGTCTGGGAAGAGGGGCTGAATTAAAGCTTACTGTTCTGGGGTGAATGTGCTTTTAGGGCACTTCACGTCTGTTGTGGCTTAAATTCTTTTTTTATGATCTCAGGTATATTTTCTCTTGTCTGTTCATTTTGCATCAGTTAGAGACACCTCATACTGATAGTGGTTAGAAGGATGATCTCAGACTGCTTGATCATTTGAGGTATCTAAAGGCCCTGTGATCAGTTCAGCTGTTAGATCTTAATAGCTCCCCTTGTTCAGGTGTAGGCAGAACTGTGTTTGAAGATGTACAGCCCAGTTTTATGGGGCGGAATTGAAATTTGTTTGTCCATATAAGCAAGTCCAACTTTTCAGAAGTTAAATAGTAAAACTGGTAAAGGCCAAAGGCCTGGTCTTGTGTTAGACCTGTGCTCTGCCTGACACTGGGGGAGGCTGATAGGCAAGAATACTGCCGCCAAAGCAGTGTCTTTACGTGCTAGACCCTTCCATGTACATGCAAGAAATAATTTGTTGAGTTTAATATTAGTGTGTATCATCTTTTGGTCTAAGTACGTGCAGAGCAGCTAATGTAGATAATTTGGTGTAAGGCTCTAGTTTTTGTGCTCATTACATCTTTCAGGCAGGTTAAATCCAATGTTAAGGTTGCCATTCTAATGAGTGTTTTCACTTGATCAATGTTTCTGGAAACTTTTACATTCTCTGCTCTTAATACTCTGCTACATTTAATACTTCAGTGAGCTTTGTTTGTCTGTTAGTATTTTTAAAGGTGATTCAATAGGCCATCCTACAAAAACAGATTATACCCAAGATTTAACAGAGTAAAAATCAATTTATTAGTATCTTTTTCCCTCAGTCAAACCATTTTGAGTCCTTTTACAGGGATATTTCCCAATTGCTGGGTATAACATTTTTCAATTGAGACTAGGTTGCTGTCTGCTAGTGATTTTCAGGCTAAATAAAAGGAAAGACTTCTTAAGTAGGAGGAGAGAGAAAATTGGTGAAAATGTATCTGGGGAGTAAACCTTTCAAGCTTTGAGTGTATATGTGAGGCAGAAGACCATTTTTGCTCTTCTCTCCGTTCTTCCCCTTTTTTCTCCCCTTCCATCCAGTCTGCAGATCACTTTTCTGGTAGTTGAATTATTTTTAGCATAGTAATTTTAAAGTACTGAGCCCTCACATGAGGTAAACTGTACTTCAGACATTGCTAGACCTTTAATAAAAAGTCCATCTTAATAATTCTTGCATTTAAGTGTAATGTCAAAGGCTATTTCATAAATCTAATGCAAATCATTCTTAAAGTTTCTAGCTATAAGTAATATATTTTCCTGGATTTTCTTCTCAGCAACCCGATAGCAGAAGGGTCAACTCTTCTGTTGGATTTTCTGTTTTGCAGCATACAAGCAATGACCCTTATTGCTTTGTGGAATTTTATGAACACAGAGATGCAGCTGCTGCATTAGCTGCTATGAATGGGAGAAAAATTTTGGGAAAGGTAAGTTGCTTACATTGTAATTTTAGACTTAAGGAATATAGGTTTGTGTAAAAAATGTTGGTAAAACTGTGAGGCATTCATTTTGTTGAAGATGTTTACCAATGTTAAATATTGTTAGAATAATATTTTTTAAATAATTGATTTTAAAAAAGCAAGTCTTGTTTAGGAAACATGTTATTTGTGATGTTTTAATTATGACAGCGTTTTGTATTGAATGATGATTTGTAAACATTGACAGTTGTAGCTCACCCTTGAATTAACTTAAAAAACGTAAGAATTTTGTGAATTTATACTAAATGTTATACTTATTTTCAGGAGGTCAAAGTAAACTGGGCAACAACACCAAGTAGCCAGAAAAAAGATACATCCAGTAAGTAAAGTAATGGCACAGTATCGCTTCTACACAAATAATTCACAACGCGGTAATAATGTGTCATAAATGCATTTAAACATAACTTTTTTCCTTTCCATCTTGTGTTTAATAGAATTTTGCAAACTAATTCTTCTGTTTCTGCTTTACAACTGGGGAAACTGGAGTGGACAGATTAAATTGCTGCTGCTCATCAGATGGAATCCTGGGCGTTCCTGGTTCCCAGTGCTGTGTGCAGAGCATCAGTTTCTCAGGAGTTGAAATTTTAGATAGCAGTTAAATATTTGATTAGTAAATTATTTATTTTCAGATCACTTCCATGTGTTCGTTGGGGATTTAAGTCCAGAAATAACAACAGAAGACATCAAGTCAGCATTTGCTCCTTTTGGTAAAATATCGTAAGTATCACAATAAACATTTCCAATATCAGTTAGAAAATGTGACAGTGAAAATTTGTTTCTGAGTTGAAATGTTATTTCTTATCTTTTTAGATAATTTCTCTGATGTTAATTACTACGTGTTGGGTGGGCAGTAAAAACGGGTTATTATTTCATCTCAGTATCTGTCATGATTGTAAATACAGTAATGTAATTGTGCTCTGGTTTTGCTGAAAGCAGTGTGCTTTTAACCTAATTCATATGCTAATGTCTTTCAACTTTTTATTAAAATTTAATTACTGTACCTAAGTGTGACTTTTGTTGTTCAGAATGTGTATAGAGTAGTGACTTGAGAACTGGTGTATGCATCCTCAGTGTGTTTTGTGTGCATTCATGCTGTATTTCTTAGGCAGGGTAGAATGGGGCAATTAGAATATAATTTTCTGAAGCAGCTAGTTGAATAACTTGTGAACATTTTGACAAAACCTGATACTTATGAGAATGAAATCTACTTTTTTGGATAATAACAGGGGGTGAATTAAGATTATAGTATTTAAACAAAAGAAGGGTGGATTTACAATATGTGCACATTTCTGCCAGTTAAGAGAATGTTTCTTTAAACTTCTCATAGATAATTCAGGTGCTACTAAATCACCTGGTGTTTTAATTGAACATATTGAATGTTACAAGAATCCTTGTGAGTGCTAAAGTATGTATGTCCTTAAGAGTACTGCTACAAAAAAGTATGTTAATCTTCTATCGGTTTATCTTTATAAAAATCTTTCAAAGTTGCACTTGAACGTTTTTGTACTACTTTACAGGAATATATTTCTAAGAACAAAATTCTTATTTTTCTCTTGTTCTGTACGCATATTTTTAAATGAATCATAAATCTTATTTCTTACCTCTGCTATTTTGTTTACTTTGCTTTTTGTCTCTTAATGTGGTAAGTAGTACTGTTTTAAAAATCAATTTAAAGAGAATAATTCAGGTTTCTGTTTCTCAATCTATATTTATACCTGAGACCTGCAGTTTTTCTAAAGTCCAAGTCACAATTAAAAGTAATAGCATTCTGGTTATTTTGCAGAATTGCTCATAAGAATGGACAGGATCTTGAAGGCTAACTGCAAGGAACTGTGCACACTGGAACTCAGTTGTAGATTTTTTCTCATTTCTATTTATTCTTATTATACATTATTTATATATACATATTTTAGTATTTACATTTTAACATTCTATATTCAGTGCAGTTCTATATTTCCAATCATTTTAACTTACTCACTAAAATTTCTGTGTAAATTTGTTGTTTTCGTACTGGTGTGCTTAGCATTGTTGTTAGTTTTATTCTCCTTTCTTAAATTTCTGAAAATGTCAATTTTTCAAAATTTACAGCTACCCAAACTCCAAAATGATGGTAGAGAATTGACCAAGAAAAATAAAGAAATCTGTTAACAGGCCATGTATGCCTTTTAATTCCTATTTTTTCCTCTTTTTCGATTTTTTAATATTTCATATATTTTGTATCACTAGGCAGAAGACATTTAACTATTTAGAAAATGCATGGTAAATTAGATAGAATTGTTGCAGTAATTTATAGAACAGTAAACCTTAGAGGACCCTAGCCAATAGAATATTAGAAAAGGAAACTTTGTTTCTCTTATACTTCAAATTTGAACATTCTAGTTTTAGCCAGCATAGGTTATGTGGATAGGTTGCATGTTTATTACATGTTATTTTTTTTGTCCTACTGCTTTTTTCTAACAGGTAAAGAAGCAATAGGGAGAGTTCAGGAATGACTGTAGTTTTAGGGCTAACTGAATTTATAAGAAAAAATTATGCTCACAATACAGTGTGTGTGGTTCCTTTTAGTTTTTATTTTGCAGGTTATTAATATTACCCTCATATAGCTGTGCTTCTTTTCACAGGGATGCACGGGTAGTTAAAGATATGGCAACTGGAAAGTCAAAAGGCTATGGTTTTGTGTCTTTTTATAACAAACTGGTGAGTAGTCACAATGCAGGTTTAAAATAATTGCCTATTTTCCGTTTCTAGTTTTGCCTCTTTGTTTATATGTCTGTATTCACTGTGTATCAGGCTTTCCCAAGGGAAATAAATGTGTGTGCACGGGGGACGCTTACTTTAGTCAAAAACTTCCAGTGTTTCTGGTTAAGGGTTGAAACGATTCAGATGAGAGTGGTGCTGTGAGAACACTGTGAAAAAAGATTCAAAAACGTCGTGAGAGAGGATGCCTGAACATAGGAAGCTCGTTTGGGTGTGTTAGGGTAGTTCAGCTTAGTCTGTGGAACCATCTCTCCTGCAGTGAGGTGGGCGCCTGGGCTGAGCAGCAGTGCTTTGGGTCTCGCAGCTGAGGCTCTGCGCCAGGCCCGGTGCCGTTCCCCCTGTGAAGGCAGGAGCCTCTGCAAAAGGAGGTCCTGGAGTGCCCGCTCCCGAGGAGCTCAGCGCCACGCTGTGCAGCGGGGTTTGGGGTTTGCCAGGCTCACGTGTTTGCCAAAGCTCAGGCGTTCTGGGGATCCAGGGCAGCCAGGTGTGTCATGCGCTGGATTTGTTTGCTTGAGCTCTGCATCTCCATGAAGTTCTAGGTTGGTCCTTCGCTTGGGTGGTTAGAATGCTTTGGAATCTAAGATGGTTCTTTGTATTGAGTTAGTTACTTTGCAGCGAAGAGTTGATTCTGTGCTTCTAAAGCGTTTTGCTTGGGCGTGTTGTAACTGAAGGTTGTTTTGGTTTTGTGTTGGGTGGTGTTACATAACAGATAACATTATGTATGCTTAGGGAAAAATGCTTCCAACAAGTGACTAGTATCCCTTTCTGATACAGGTATTACAGAGGTTACTTGTAGAATTTAGTCAGTGTAGTACTGATAAAAACAGTGCTGTGCTGTGCCCTACCGTTTATAGCAATACGGTTGACTCAACACATAATTCTTGGCAATTTGGAAGTTAAAAAAATGCTTGTCAGCATAAGAAATTTGTGAAAATTATTTGGAAAATTGAGCTGTATGTGTTTAGAGGTACTTTTAGGACAACATGGGGAAAGAAACAGTGTAAACTGTTTTCCTTGAATATTTTATATTGGGAAAACACACCCAGTTAAGGATTTTAGGCATATAAGCCTGTTTGTGCAGTCAGAAGTCCTGCAAGTCAAGACACTTTTTCTGTCTTCTGTAACATCTGGAGCTGAATCTTAATCAGAAGAAGTTGGAATTCCTTTTCTTCAGATTTGCTGTAAGATACTGCAATTGAATGTCTTGATTTAGTGAGTTTTTCCACTTACACTTCCATTTATTTGTGCTGCGGGCGGAATAGACAAGAGGAATAGAGGTCTTACTTCCTTGTACCCTCCACTTCCCTTACCATACGGTTGTGTTTGGGTTCTGTGCCTGTAGGGGAAGTGTTCTAACACGGAGGCAAGTTACTGGATTCTTTTAAGACCGAGCCATAAAAACTCCAATTTAAATTCTATATTCATTCTGCAAAATTAATGGATGAATTCTAAAAGTAATACTAAAAAGTACTTCTAAAACTTATGTCCTGATTGCTGTTCTTTCAAACAGCAGCTGTGCCTATTGGGTTATGGCGTGACCATCCTGAGTTTAAAGCCTGTTTTTCAGAAATTATTGTTGTCCTGCTAGACTGGGGAGGTGGGATGGGTTCCCAGACTTGAGGTGCACCAGCCTGAGCTTAATGCGCTCCACAGTTGTGAGAAATTAAACTCCTACTTTGAACTGGAGCAGCTATGGCATGGGCTCTGTTCTGGTTTTGTCATAGCTGTGATCCTCAAGACTGGCAGCAAGATTCATCAGAGCTAGTTTCCTTTCCTAGTCAGTTTGTAACTTGCTCGTTACGTTTTGGGAGTGAGGGTGCTTGAGTAAGTTGGGATTTTTTTATTGTCTGGTGATTTGGTTTTTTTTTTTCTTACTGGTTATCTCTCATAATTTCTTTTTTATCATTATGTATTGTCTTCAGAATGAGCACTGTGTAATTAAACCTTAGGAGGATCAAGGTCCTGAGTGATTTGAGTTTGAGACAAGTCTGTTATAGCTGGAAGCCTTCAGTGTGAGGCGGGACAGTGCTAGCCGCTCACCTTTAGCTTGTCCATATGTTCTCCGTGTCCCTTGTGCTTGGCGCTCTCTTTCTTAAGCGTTGTGCCCTTGGAAAAGCATTTCAAGCACACGTACTATTTGCTCTGCCTCTCTCTTCTTTCAAAGGAGTTGGGGAAGAAATTGCTTCTTGCAAGTGTTAGCCTATCCCTCGGTTATTAGATGTTTCTGCTTAAAATGTGAACTTAAAGACTGTCTTCTAATTCATGCTCAAGAAGTTAAGCCACATGGGCCATGGACTCTTTTGTGTGTGTGTTCATACAATGATATTTAGAGACCTATGCTCAGACATCCATTGCATGCCTCCAGAGAGCAGAAGAGAGGATGGAGCAGGGAGCATGTGCAAGTGACAACTAAAAGGAAACGTACCTGCTCAGCTTTGAGCAGCCTGGCCTGGTGGAAGATGTCCCTGCCCATGGGACGTCTTTAAGGTCCCTTCCAACCCACACCATTCTGTGGTTTTATGATTAGTTTCTTAGTAACTACCATTCAGCCTTCCCAGAACTTCCAGATTTTCTACCTAAACTTGGCCTGTTACCTTGAGTGCATATTAAGATTCTGAAAAAACACATTCAGATCTTATTATACAGCGTCTTTTGCAAACTCTTACTGCATGGTGTGTTACTGGAATTATGTCTGAGAAACTTTTCAGTGAGGGATTTTGATGATGAGAAAGTCCTTCCTGACTCTTCATCTGTTACTGTTTAAATATACTTCTGTGTATTATATTAATACAGTCAGTTGGCAAAATATTTTTTGTTTTGTTTTTTTAATAGTTAAAATTATGATGGTTTTATTTTGGTAGTTGCTTCAGGCATCTGTATGACCTTTGTACTTTTTTGGGCACCCTTCGAATATTCTAATACAGATGCTTGTTGTGTAAAAGTAGTGCATGTGTGATTGTGGTTTGCTTCTAACCTGTGTGTAGAACATGGGGGTGGGAGGAAGTTTTTTACCAAATCACTTGTGAGGATGTTCTCTGTAACTGGTTGGCCTCATGTTACTTCATTTGTGTCTGCTTGCTGTGGTTGCGCAGCATTTCATACGCTTGTTAGTGCTGTTACTGGTTTTGTCAACAGAATTAACTGACAACCAAGTCTTTGTTAGAAGTAGATTTGTACATACTGCTTTGGATGTGTTATAATCTCTATTTTAATCTCTTTAGGATGCGGAAAATGCTATTGTACACATGGGAGGCCAGTGGTTAGGAGGCCGTCAGATCAGAACTAACTGGGCAACACGGAAACCACCAGCCCCCAAAAGTACACAAGAAAGTAAGACCTTCGTGTAATGCTGTGTTGTGTTTGCTCTCTCGCACTTTACTGTTCGGTGGAAGATTAAAACATAATGTTGCCAAGATCATGTCACTTAATTACATATTTAGCTTGACTTCCAGATCTTAAAGAATAGGTTTTTTTGATACCTTGTATCAACGCAGTGGTGGCCCTACTGGTCTGTCATAAAATACTGAGTATATCTGTTAAATGTGTAATTCATACTTGTGTACGAGGTAAGTATCTGGGACTCTGTGGTTAGCCTGTTAGCCTACTGCTTAAAAACAGCCTTCTCTCTTTATAGATAATACAAAACAATTGAGATTTGAAGATGTAGTAAATCAGTCAAGTCCAAAAAATTGTACTGTGTACTGTGGAGGAATCGCCTCTGGGCTAACAGGTATGATTTGTTTTATTGCTTTTTTTATTATTGAAGCTTTTTGGACACCAAGGTGGTTACTAATTCAAAAACATTGTATGTTGTAGATCAACTTATGAGACAGACTTTTTCACCATTTGGACAGATTATGGAAATAAGGGTGTTTCCAGAAAAAGGTTACTCGTTTGTCAGGTATGGACAGAGAAAAATAAAATCCGTGATTTTGTTCATAGGGTAACATTTAATCTTTCTGTAATTTCACTTGATTGAACTTCTGCTGATACATTAAAAGCTGTCACCATATGTTCATAGAAATATTTGGAACTTTAAAAAGTGGCCACCAATCTTTTTACCTGAGAAGATGAATATCTGTGAAAGCAGATCTTTTTCTCTGGATATCCTGTATGTAGAGAGTCACTGTTTTTTAACAATCAGGTGGAAGTACTGTAAAGCATAACATTCGTTTGTTTTTACATTCTTTAGATTTTCAACCCATGAAAGTGCAGCACATGCTATCGTTTCAGTTAATGGAACCACAATTGAAGGACACGTCGTTAAATGTTATTGGGGTAAAGAGTCCCCTGATATGACTAAAAACTTCCAACAGGTAACTGCGATCTCTTCATTGCATTACAAAAGCAATCGTGTATATACCTTTAATGCCTTCCCAGTTACAATAGCTATATTCTGTGGTAGAATTCCATGTTCTGTCTCAGTTACGTTCCAGTTGTTCATCAAATTGGGCTAGTGATTTCGATGGAATATCTGTTACTGTCCTCTGGATATGATTCAAGATAGGGAGAAACTTTAAGGTAATTCTGATTCTTGCTGGCTCACTAACTGCAGACTAGATGACTATCCAACCAAGTATTCTTTGGTATTTCAAACACACATAAATATGTTTTTCGGTACAAGGATCTAAGTAAGTCACGGTGGTATCTTACTTAGCTGATCTCATCATTGCTCGTTTTATCCCGCTGATTGGTGTACCAAAATTTTTGCCCTCAGCAGCACAAAAGGAACATACTCCATCTGTAGAACCTGAAGTACTGTGAACTATTCTCTCCTTAGGTGGATTACAGTCAGTGGGGGCAATGGAGCCAAGTATATGGAAATCCACAACAGTATGGGCAATATATGGCTAATGGGTGGCAAGTACCATCGTATGGAATGTATGGCCAAGCGTGGAATCAACAGGGTTTTGGAGTAGAGTGAGTAATTGTATTTAATTTTTTACGGTATTCCCAGAATATTACATCTGAGTTTCAGGCTCATTTGGGGCAAGGGTTGCACAAGGTCTCGAGCCTTAGCTGGACTCCTTACGTGCTTAAAGCTTATGGTTAATGGTGTCCATGGACCAGATAACGGGGTGAGTCACTCTGACTTGTGCTCGATCAGACGTTTGATGTGTACGGGGTTCTGAGACTGAAGGCACAAAGACAGTCTTCTGCGGTAGAGTTTCGGATGGTGGTCTTGTGTGATACCTAAAAATTTCCTGACTTCTGACTTGAGGTGGTGAATGCTGGCGACTCTGAGCCAGGGAGCCCCGGTATTTGCCTAAAGTGTTCCTAATCCTGGAGAGAAGCAGCTACATACTGACATCTGAACTTGGGCAGTTTCAGAATTCGGGTGGGCTTCTCGTACTTGATCTCTTGAAGACTGAAGTCTTCAACTTTTTGTTTTAACATACTTCTTTTAAAAAACTATTATCTCTTGCCAATTACATATATGATAAACTAATCACTGGAACTCATGCCAGTTAGGTGTTGGGAATTTTTTGTGTTTCTGCGTCACTGATGTTGATTGACAGGCACCTGCGTATGTACCTGCCTGTGGAGGCAGTTGTCCTGTGCAACTAACACCCAAGGTTTGTGGGGCTTTTTTTTTTTCCTTTGTTCTTTGAAAAGCTGATGATATTTTCAAGAATCAAATGTTGTAGCACTTAACTGGAATTCTTCTCATTAAAGAAAAGAAGAAATGTGTTATTTTGGTATGAATAGTAGTGTAGGAACTATGTTTTTATGCTGATTTTCTTTTTAAGTCTGTTGTCTTGTAAATAACTTACGTGATTATTTTTCTCTTTTACTTTTTTTTCCCCACCCATTTCCTTTTTTAACCATCCTGTTTCTTTTTAAGCCAATCTCCATCTGCTGCCTGGATGGGTGGATTTGGTGCTCAACCTGCCCAGGGACAAGGTGCTCCTGTAATACCTAACCAAGCTGGATATGGTATGGCAAGCTACCAAACACAGTGAGCTGGGACTCTGTTTAAAAGTGTGTATTTCATGATAGGCTGCAGTTTCCAGTGACATTCTGAAGACTGGAATGTAGACAATGAAAAAGAAAATATTTATTTTAAAAATGGAAATGTTTGGAACCTTTAGCACAGCTTTGCTTTGGTGAAGGACACAAATGTCTTCTAGTTCTGCCTTTTTAAGTTTTTGTTCATGATGGATATGAACATGTTTTTCTTTGTGTACAAAAATTAAAAATAAAGTCAATAAAGACAATTCTGACTACAAATTTTGATATAGTAGGGGAAATGGCTAATGAATTCGATCCTTAGGTTACCATTCCATTTTTTTGTTCTGTCTTCAGTGTTTTATATCACTGTGCTTTTTAGGAGAAATGACGTTGAAAAACAGCGAGTTGCTTTTAGTTGAACACACATCCTGAAATAAACTGTGGACCAATCGTGACACCCTGCTAGACAGTATTGATTTTTCAAGAAACCAGTGGGCATAGCTCAGAAAGTATATGTAGGTCTTGGAATAATTTTTTTAAAAAAATATTTAATTTTTCTACATGCTTAAAGAAAACAGTCTGATACAAAGAATAGTTCAGTCTAAGATGAAAAACAGTACTGTCTGCGTAATTTCACATACCTTACTGTCCACATTCAGGCACACATTAAAACTTTTCCAGCTGGTTTGCTTATTAAGACTGTAGTAATTTGCATTTAATTTTGAGAAGTAAAAACGTTTTTGCAAGTATGTTGTTTGTATTCAAGTCAGACAGTCATACTTGTGCTTTTACATAAAGTTTGAAGGCTACACATTGTAAATACTTCATAATTACAGTGTTTCGAAAGCATGCTCAAACATAGAAGTAGCAATGTAATTATTCAAAGTAATACTTAATATACTCTACTGCTTTAAATGCAGTAGATTGACAAGAATGTGCAAGACTGACATTTCCAAAGTTGGCTATTATGTAAAGTTACATAAAGAACTATAACAAAGAGCCTTAATTTTAATTTCATAAATCTTTAATGCATCACCTTTTTGTCATTAGAAATACAAATTTTTTGCTTTACATTATTTGGTATGTAAATACCTTGGTTAACAACCTTGTAAACCTATTTCAAGGTTATTATAAGTTGTATAGTATCTTGAGTGTTTTGAAAAATCTTGATGTTTTTTAAGTCTAGAAATATTTTGCCCAAGAATTTTTTAACAAGATTGTTAAAAACATCTTATTTTAGAGAATATTCAATGTGCCATTTGGTAAATGGAGATGCAGTTGAAACAGTACACTGAGTTGTGACTTATTTTTAATTAAAGTTTTTGTCTTTATGGGTGGTTTGCATGTGATGAACCTGTACAGAGGCTGGGTTGTTTGTGTACTGAGTGTGTAAATGGATAAATCATGAAGATGTTTAAATGGTATACTTGGGTTATTTCTGAATTATTTTATGGATACATTGATATAAACTGCCTCAATAAATTTGAAGTTGAAAATGAATGTAAGTTAGATATAAGTACTGTGTCTTACCTGTGACAGCTAGGGGGTGCACGTGTTTCAGCTGTATACTGAAATACACTGAGGCAGGCACAATTTAAAAAAAAAAATAATGTAGGATTTGCAGTGATAGTTCAGTGAAGCAAACTTGCATTTTAAAAGAAACGGAGTGTTTGATTTTAGAGGTGATAGTTCTAAAGGAGTGTCTGAGAAACTGCATATTTTACCTTTTCTGTTTCTTACCGTGCAGGTGTTGCAAGTTAGAATAGGTTTTGAAATGGAAACTTGCAGTTTTGTTAAACCCAGCCAGGTCGTGCAAATAACTACGCGTAATGCTGTAGCAAATCACACGAGGTGTTTTCCTCCTCTTCTACTTGACATGCTAAGTAGTACCTTGACTTTTAGATCAGGTTGAGATATACTAGAAGAGCAATTTAGTCAGTCGGCTCAACTGTACCCAGGGATACTTGTAACTCTGGGCACCTAGTGCATGCAATAATGACTGAAGTTCGTGTGGAACCAGAAGTGCTTGTGATGACGGAATTGGCCCTTTATCTCTGTTTCTCCTTTATCGTATACGTTGTGTTTTTCCGCTCAAGTTAGGAATCTTGTCTACAGGACTCTTGTTTTTCTATAAATTTTGTATATATGTGTATATCTACGCGAGGATCGGCCTATACATTGTAGTTTGGAAAAAAAAAAATCACAAGTAAGTCTGCATTTTTGTTACACCTATCCAGTTTAAAAAAAAAAAAAAAAGTCATGAGTCAGTAGATACCTGAACTGCAAGTTACTTTAGGATTTCTTAGACTTCACTTGAAATCCGGGGTTTCTACATAATTGTAGGTGTTTGACTTGACTATGTTCTGGATGCATGCTGGTATGTAAGCAGTATGTTCTTTAGGCGCTGCTGAAGATTTATAGGATGCAAGTACATTGCCACATAAATGCCCATGTAAATGGGTGTAAGATTAAGGCAGTGATCTTTCAGGTCTCAGCGTGTAGATCACCTTAAATCTGATTATTTAATATGCCTGCTGTAGAGCTGGGCCACACCTGACCTGTATTTCAGGATGAAAAATAGGATATACTTTCTCACTGAAGTCTTTTGTCGTTGATTTTTATACAGCTTTTCTTTAATGGTGACATTTCTTCGCAGACTGCTCAAGATATGGGAGTCTCCAGTGTCCTTTAATGTTTTATAGCGCTGCGAGGAAGAGTTGTAATTTGGATTGCTTTGTACTCGGTAGCGTTCATAAATGCATCACTGACAGTTTTTTGGCACCAAAGAGCCTCTTGCACCATACTGCTTTTATGAGTGAGCGTTACACTGTTGTAATTTAACTACACAAATCAACCACTACCTAACCCCTTACACCACTAGGATTTGGGTTTCAAAAAAGTATTGATTTATCATGGCTTAAGTTGATGCGTGCAACCTGAGGCAAGGTTGTAAACTGCGTTTGCAGAAAATGTTCAATAAAAGTGAAACATGATAAAGGGCTTATCCTGTATTGTCATCTGTCAAAACATTGTCCCTCTTTGCTGTAAAACTGACAACAGGCGTACAAGGCCGAACTTGTAAAACTATGCACTTGCAGTCATGTAAAAGATGTTTTATTTAAAATTTTTCATACGAAACAGTTTTGTATTTTGCAGAGTTGCAGTGGTAAGGCTGTAAATCTAAGGTTACATGTAGCTTTTCGTCAGTCCTGCTTCCTTGTGTATATTTGTGACGTTTTCAGACATAACTCTTCCTGCAGAACCTCTTTCCTTACTAAGATAACTTCATGAGGCTGTGTCAGAACCGTTTCCTTCATTTCACTTGCCAAAACAAGTCTCTCAGTGAATAGGGCTTAGTTTTGCAGAAAATCAGCGATTGTTTTTCTTGTGTTTGTACGCAAGGAAGCAGACTTAACTGTATGGACATGATTAGTGTCTGGTACTTCTTAATTATCTGACTGTTTCTGAACAAGGGCGCCAGTCTTTGTGTTAATCACATGGAACTGTTTCCCGGTCAGCAATAAAAGATTTTGTTGCACTGTTCTTACACTGCAAGATACAGGCAGTCTTTTATTCAGTATACCTAAAAAAAAAAAATGGATGGGGTTTGTAAAGCACTGCCTTGTTCCAACGTGAGTCTTCATACATAGGTGCAGCTGGGGATCTGGATTGCTGCTGTAATAGCAAAAGGCAGTTGTTGTTCCGAAACTTGTGTGAGGATTTACTTGTTCTGATCATACATGGTGCCTGTTCAACAGCGCTAGATTTAAGGGTTTCACTGGGTAATAATGTTCCTGTCCGTAAAAAGGCAATTGCAAGGTGATAGCTGCTGGGAACATCTTTGTTGTGTTCCATTTCAGCCAACTTTTGTGAATCCAGTGGATTGTTTAAAAAAATAACTTAGAAGATATTTGTGGTTTTTTGGTATCACATGGATAAAATCCTGCCCTCACCTTTACCATCACTTCAAATCAAAGGAAATGCTGAAATGTTTACTGAATGTTTTACTTTAAAAAGAAACAGGACTTTCTGTTGATGAGTGAACACTGGCTCTGTCGTCTTTGGGGACGTATGGTGATGTGGATCATGGATGTGAACGACAGGCTCTGCACTGACGTGTAAAGGGTAACGACTCGGAAAGTTAAATTTGACATCAGTAATGATGATTTGAGTACAAGTTGTTCTTGCTGAAGTACCCAGCCGCTCATGCTTTGATTAAAGCTGATCTGAATCTTCTTGGTGTTCCTGATCTGCTGTGGGAAGAAACATCGCTTTACCGCGTATCTCAGTGTTCAAGCTGTCAGTAAGACAGCGGAGTGGCGTAGATGGTATTTTGTTTGTTTGGAGGAAAAAAACTTCATGGAGTTCTGTCAGGGGATTCAGTGTGAGCTGACTTTTCTGTAGTGACAGGTATTTGAGTATTTCCCTTTGAAAACGAGGGATCTGTCGCTGCTCTTTGCACGAACCCAGGTTGTCACTGATCCCGGCTACTCAGCCGCTTGCAGGGAAGGGAGGAGGAGGGAAGGGAGGAACGGTGAGGCGAGGTGGTGTGCATGATGCAGCAGCGTCGGTGCCAAGTCACGTTGTCAAACACATTTAAAATCATGACAGGCTTACACAGATACCACAGCAGTATCCAAAGGATTGTGACTGTTCAGACTGCTTTATCGCCTTGCTTAAAATAATGCTGTTTTAAAATGACAGAAATAGAAAACTCCTAACCTTTGGCTGTTTTCTTTTTGGTTCCTGGGAAAACAGATGCACATTAAACAGCCAAGCTAGAATACCTAAGCTGACTAAACAAATAAAGAAAATTTAAACAAATTGCGTTAAGCATCTGAATTTGTAGACCTTTGCTTAATTTAGACCTCTTCGCTTGGCATTCTGGTGTTTGCCTGTATTGACCCTGTTGTTTGTGGGGTTGGAGTAGTTGGAGATACACACAGCTGCCTGTCGAATGTCTTCCCATTCTATAAATGCATAATTTCTGGAGCAGGGGTGGGTGGGAATTGAATGAGTCACAAGTCGACCACATGAAAGGCTAAATAACGCTTCCATTTCCTAGACAGAAATGGAGTGACTAGAGCCAGCTCTGTACAAGTTTAAATCTCGCAGGTGGTGAAAAGCCGCCGCCCTCTGTCAGAGTAGCTAGTTCTTTGACCTTAATAAATGGAGAAGAATTACTGGGGTGCTGTTCCATGAAAAATGCTCTTTGTGGTTTCTTGGGTCCTTTCAAGGAAGCAGATCTTTTTCATTCCACAAATGATGTGTTTCCTTCA